TTAGGTAAGATATTGGAGGAAAATGTCACTGATGGGTTACGGTTTTGTTTCTCACTGATGGTTTTTAAAGCTATAATTTCATCTGAGGGCTTATTTCATCCATGTGGGCTTATCTACCTTCTGATGTTCTTTTTGACTGAGGAGGATCTAGGAGAATACTGAAGATGGTATTTTTATTCCAAATTTCTGGTATAGTAAAGACATTGACTTTTTTCATTTACCATCCTGTCTTAAACACACAAAGTGAGAGCATTCCAGCAAAAGACACATTTGTTAGAATTAGAGTGACTAAATCATGAAGAAATATGTATTTAAAACATATTTAAAACCCTAAGTTTTATGTAACCAAGAAGTACTATGTAATAAGTATTTTTTAAAAAAGCAGTAATTATTGTAAAGACAAACCACAGGAGGAAAAGGAATGTTCATCTTGCAAGATAGAACACAAGACTGAAAGAATATCAATGCTAGACATTTGTATTCATTATTATCAAGGTCTTCCCATGGGCCAAACCTCCTGAACTGTGGAAGATGTATGATCTTGGAATTGCTGGAAATAGCTAAACATGCTGATCAGACACTTCACTACTCAGTGTCTGCTGAGGAAGGCTCCATCACCCACATTTTTATTCAAAAGAAGGCTAACTAAAGATTACCTGGAAATCTTCTCATTATTTGGCATAATCCTTCCTTTCTGCAAAGCTGGTGCTGTATTTCTGGTAATATATTTACCTGAAAAGAATATAAAGAGTCTAGATTTAGGCATACATAAATACTGAAGTAAAGAGCAAGCAAAAAACACAGAGGCCACAGAAATGAAGTATTTTCTGTATCATCCACACCTTGTCTCTGCAGGACACTGTTCTATGCTAAACACATAAGTGGTTTATTTGATAACATAAAAACTTGGCCTTATAAATCTTTAACATATTTGAGGTCATGTTTGAAAACCTTGTTACATTTCAAAACTGTATTTTCTAGAAATAAAAAGAAATACAACAGTTATCAACTAAATTGCAGAAATAACCCCAGATATGGTAAAGCCTTGTTAAACACAACTGGAAGAGGTCGCTATGAACTAGCTTGCAAATTAGATAGCTTTTGAAATATTATACATTACTTCAAATGAATTTGCTCTTAGCTAACAAAGAAAGCATTGCAGTGTCTCCACCTTGACCTGCTAACTAAAGACAAAGAACTGAACTGCAGTGGGGAGAAGAGAGGGAACTAGAAGCATGGGTTGTGGTCCCACTTCTGACACTTCCCAGAAGTGCAGCCTTGAGTACATCACTTTGCTCCTCTATATTCTTCTGTAAAAATAAACCACTCAGAGCCATTGGTCTCTAAGGTCCCCTTCAGATTTAAGATGTGTCAATTTGATAATAACTTGTATCTTAAAAATGACTTATTTTAAGTGCTTTAAACAGTGCATGGATTAAATATTCTCCAACCCTTACAGTTTCATTAACCACACTCACATATTCAGCAACCCTTCTTTCTCCCAATAATAGAGCAAGGATAACCTTCAAGTCAGGTCCTCTATGAATAAAGCCTGTCTTGCAAGAACCCACTCCCATGATTCTGCACTAAAAAGATTTCTAAATATTCTATTTGGAACGTTTTCAAAGATGCAGGAGCCTAAGACACTTAACATTCTATTGTACTGGGAATTAAGACAAATCTATAAATATACTATACTTTAGCTCTTAGAAGCTCTGGTGGTGTAGTGCCTAAGGCATTTGACAGCTAGCCAGAAAGTTGGCAGTTCAAATTTGCCAGCCACTCTGCAGAAGGAAGACTGGGTAATCTACTTCCATAAAGATTCACCGCCTCAGAAACCCAAAGGGAGTTGTTATGAGTTAGAATCAACTCAATGGCAGTGAGTTTGGTTTTTTTTAGATCTTAGGGACATTTTATTATTGTTGTTGGGTGCTGTGGAGTCTATTCCAACTCACAGCAAGCCTGGAATATGGAATGTAAAAAGTATACCAAAAACAAAAAACTAGTACAATGTATGAGTCTAGGAAAATTGGAAGTTGTCAAAATGAAATGGAATGCATAAATATCAATATCCTAGGCACTGGTGAACTGAAATGGATTGGTTTGGGCCATTTTGAATCAGACAACCATATGAGCTACTATGCTGGGAATGACAAATTGAAGATGATTGCTGCGGCATTCATCATCACCAAGAGTGTTTCAAGATCTTTCCTGAAGTACAACACTGTCAGTGATAGGAAAATATCCATACGCCTACAAGGAAGACCAGTTAATATTCCTATTATTCTAATCTATACACCAACCACCAAAGCCAAAGATGAGGAAATTGAAGATTTCTACCAACTTCTGCAGTCTGAATTTGACTAAACACACAATCAAGATGTGTTGATTATCACTGGTGACTGGAATGCAAAAGTTGGAAACAAAGAAGAGTTACTGGTAGTTGGAAAATATGGCCTTGGTGATAGAAATAATAGTGCTGGAGATCGCATGATAGAATTTTGCAAAACCAATGACTTATTCATTGCAAATACCTTTTATGAACAACATAAGCAATGGCTATCCACACGGACTTTACCAGATGGAATACCCAGGTTATCAGATTGACTACATCTGTGGCGAGAGGCAATGGAGAATTTCAATATCTTTGGCCAAAACAAGGCCAAGAGCAGATTGTGAAACAGACCACCAACTGCTCATATGCACGTTCAAGTTGAAGTTGAAGACAATTAAAACAACTCCATGAGAGCCAAAATACGATCTTGATAATGTCCTTCCTGAATTTAGAGACCATTTAAAGAATCATTGAACACCAGTGACTAAAAACCAGAGGAATTGTGGGATGACATCAAGAACATTATCCATGAAAAAAGCAAGGGGTCATTAAAAAGACAGGAAAGAAAGAAAATACCAAATGGATGTCAGAAGAGACTCTGAAACTTGCCCTTGAGCAGAGATAGCTAAAACAAATGGAAAAAAGAGATGAACAGAAGATTTCAAAGAGCAGCTCAAAATGACAAAGCTAATTATGATAATGAAATCCAATATACCTTCCATAATCTTAATCTGTGGTAACCTAAATCTAAATTGTTTCTATTGTATATTGACAGAAGGAAAAGTGAAAAATCATTCTTTTTTTGAGATACATTTTATTAATGAGAGCAACAGTATATTAATATATTATTATTAATTATTACAAACAAACAAACAAACAAACACCCAAACTCATTGCCATAGAGTTAATTCCGACTCATAGCAACCTTCATTGGGTTCCAAGGCAGTAGATCTTTACAGAAGTAAATTGCCCCATCTTCCTTCCATGGAATGGCTGGTGGGTTTGAACCACCAACCTTTGGGTGAGCAGTCAAATGCCTTAGGCACTACACCACCAGAGCTCCTTATTAATTATCAAGGGAGTATAAATCTAAAATTACAGCAAAACTATTAATTTATTAGGGAAAGTAGATATTTGAATTTTGTTCTATTAATGAAGTATGAGAAAGTACCCAGGGAAAAAGAATTTTTTGTCACTTATGAACATTAAGAGTGATGCACACGTTGTATTATATACATCTTAGAGAGCTCCTGTTCTTCCTCACTGAATCTGTACAGAATCTCATGCCTTTTATCTAAAAAAAATATCAGATCTTCTCCTAAGACCGTTCAATAACATCCATAAGGAAAAAGAGTAATGAGAAGGAAAGAGGAGAACTAGCTAATCAAAGAAATAAAGTCTATTTTTTCCCTCTCCTATTTATTTCAGGAGCAATTATCATTCCATTCAAATTCACCTGAGAATGTTCTCATCTGCTTTAAAAGAAGGGTCATTTCAGTAGTTCTCAGTGCTCCAAGTACTAAAAACAGCATCCTGGTTTTAGGGGTTGCTAATCTTACAAACATTTAGAGCTAGAAATGAGTCCATCTGCTTTTGAAACAGTAGAATCCCTGTTGGAGGTGAGCCGTAGGCCTACTTCCTAAACTTAGTGTCACTCCAAATACAGGAGTTCACTGCACTTTCCAGATCACGTGGACCAATGCAATGATAAATTCCCATCCTTAGTCTCCTGACTAGACAGACTCTCAGCCACTCCTTCTTTTCATTTTTCTTATGTTTCACTAAGCACTAAAATTACAAAACCCTTAATCCTGATTTGAGCGAGTACCCTTTCTTTGCTCATCGTGAGATCACTGACAATCGTACATCCTCACCAAATTTGAAGCAACTTCTGTTTTGAATATTGATGCCTCCATAAATAAGTTATGGTTCTTAAAACTTCAAATTAGTCATGCTCCAAAGTTATCTAACATGCATCATTTAGAATTTATACTTCAAGCACATTCACTAGGGTAGGCTGTTAATGCAGTTGCTACACGTTTATTTAGAGCAATTCTATAGTGAAAGAGTTAAGAAAACAGGTTTCAAAGACAGACTGCCAGAATTCAGATCTACTTGCTTCATCTATTAGCTCTGCAGCCTATGCTTCAGTCTCCTCCTCTGTAAAACCAAATCCTAATCTAGTAAATTCTGACTCACAGCAATCCTGTAGGACAGAGTAGAACTGCCCATAGGGTTCCTAAGGCTGTAACCTTCATGGAAGCAGACTGCCACATCTTTCTCCCATTGACTACCTGGTGAGTTCAAACCACCGACCTCTCAGTTAGCAGCTGAGCACTTAACCACTATTCCACCAGGGTTCCCTCATCTGTAAACAATGGACATAAATAAATATGTAAGCACTTAGAATGGTGTCTAACATGTAGTAAGGTTATATGAATGTCAGCTATTATTATTTGGCATTTCTGCCTTCAAAATATTCCCAGGTTCTGTCTACATTTCACCACCTCCATTGCTACCCACTAGTCCATGTCACCCTCATTTTATGTCTACATTATTGCAATAACTGGTCTCCCTGGTTTTGTTCTTGCCCATCATTTAGCCAATTTTCAACATAGTAGCCAGAGCAGTGCTGTTAAAATGTAAATGGAATCATGTCACCCCTCTGCTCAAAGTGTTCCAATAATCCTCTAATTCACCAAGAAGGAAAGCCACACAGGGCTTACAAGGGTCTCCATCACCTAGGCCCCTACTCCTGGCATTACTCTGCCTTTACTTCATACTGTCTTCATTCCCCTCCAGTCATATGGGGCTCCTTGTGTTCCTCAAATAGGCAAGACATTCTTCCTCAAAGCTATTGTACTTTTTCTCTGTACCTCAGTAGGTTAATTTCTATGGATGGCATCATATGCGCTCTCTTGCCTTTGACTATCAAATGGCTTTGCCAATGGAAGGGCTTAGGAAAAGATTGGAGGGTAGGAGTACAGAAAGGTTGGGTATTTATCCTCTTGGTTCCCTTACTACAGGGTTGTGATTTGGCAATGG